TCTAAAAGTTTAACGACAAAAAAGTTTGTGATTTTTGGCGTTTTCTAAAAACTTGTCATAAACTATACTCCAAACCCCTCCACAACCACCAGCTCTCTGTCCATCCCTTGAGAGGGAAAGGAAAAGGAGGAGTGAGAGGGAGAGAGAGTGAGGGCCAGAATTAAATGGAAAAGTAGTGCTCCAGTTGTCCCTTATATATACCGTACGGTTGCCTCCATTTCAACCGAATTATAACAAAACAAATGAAAAAAGTTTTTCGCGTATTATATGGCGAACACACAAATCAATGGCATCTAATGTATTGAGTAGTTTTGATTGAATGGAGGAACTGGCGCTCGTATACAACGACGCTTATGACATGTTGTCAACCCATATGCCCTCCCATTTCGTGTGCGTTTGATTGTAGCGCTCGGGAGGTGTGGGGCTCACAGACGATGCCTATCGACCCGTCAAGAATTGATCGCTTTTACGAATAATACGGTTAATCAAAGAATTATATATTTTTTGTATAAGAGAATAATATTTTCATTTCGGGGTTTGGTATTCAAAACTTTTGCAACTATATTGTGGTTCATGTGAATAGAGTTTACAAAATATTGCTATCAATTCATTTCATGAATATTTCATTTTATAAAGCTGTGTATTTTAAAATGATTTCTAAATGATATTGAAGACTATTTCTCAAATTAAAATTTATAGATAATTAAATTTTATAATTTAGCACAATGTATGACAAATTGATATGATCTGTTAGTATCTAAATCATTGATGAATATGATATTAATTGTGAGTTATATTGATATTTAAAGATTAACAGGGAAATCCGTGGTATTTGTGGTTTTTATAAATGTATTTCACTATCATGTTGTGCTAAATGTAATACAGTATTTATAATTAATTATATCACACTTTTATTATATGAGATAAATTGAAGGGAAATGCTTAATGAAGAAACAATAACGGGATCTATGAAAAGTACCAGGCTCTTTGATAATAAGATAACCAAACCACTGAAATTCAAATATTTGCCTTAATATTCAAAATTATTAATTTTTATTGTAGTAAATCAGTTAGCATGAGCATGATTATGACAACATATTTCATGACATTTGATTTATTATATTTACAATTAAAATATGGTTATAAATATGTTTGTCTCCACATATTGCGTTCATTTATAAAAAATTTTAAAAATCATGTAATCGTTATGTTGTTTAAAATTAGTTTCCTTTATAAGGGCCATTGAAATGATTGTATTAAATAACAAGAATAATGAATACTTTCACTCATCGATACAATAGTGTTAAACTGATTGTAAGGAAATAGTGAAATACAGTTTCCCTGTTATCATAGGCACAAACACTCCAAAAACACACACACATTGGCTCACAGGTCTTGATTAGGAATTAATTTGCAAACACACTGTATGTTCACTATTAATAATCTCATAGCAATTATCAGTTTTGCAAAAGTGTTTTACAAATAC